CTGTGGTTAGCATTAGCATTAGCAACATGGAGCTAAACCGTCTCCAGCATCTCTAACGGACCCAGCATGAGACGGTCCGACGGGCCCGGTGCTGGAGGCCGGTCCACAGGAACTTTAGTGTGAATTCTGAGGTTAAATGTGGTGTGTGTGTGTGTGTGTGTGTTCTGCAGGTGTTTTCCGGTTGAAGTACGCGGCATCCCACATTTCAGAAGCACTGGACAACGCCGACTGAGGCCGGGCAGAGGAGCAGCGTGTGGCCGCTCCTGGTCCTGACCGGGACCAGGTCTGGCCTGAGCCGGACACGGGGACCAGACAGCTCATGTCACACCCTGCCCTTTCAGTTTTTTACATTTTTGCACTGAGGGTTGGACAATATTAAATTATTACTTAATTATTTGGAACTTAAGAGATTTTGGGGATGTTTTGTTTATTTTTATGGAAAGTCTCAGCTAAAATGTTCTTATACACTTATTTCTAAAAAAAAAAGCCTATTTATGCTTTTTCCTCTGAATTACTGTTCATCTTGGATTTTATCGTCAGAATTGTACAGCAGTTTTCAAAGAATAAGTAATCACAGCTAATTTAGCAAACTACATTTTCTGGTTTGATTCTTGGTTCTGTTTTGTGTTTGAATGCCCACGTTGTCTCATTTCTGAAGGGGCCTGCATCAGCGTGTGTGAGTCCGAGGCATTTTCCACGTGATTTATAGAATGTCTGGAAGGAAATTGCTGCTTTTTTATGTGTATTATTATTTCGTTTGTACCTTTTTAGTCGTATTCAGTATGGAGCGGACAGGACTCCACACGGCCCCAAAAGCGAGCTGATGGATTTTCTGATGTTTGCAGTGAGTTTAACACTGTGCACGCAGCTTTTTAACCAGAGCTAAATGTTTTTAAAGTAAGCTGTTGATGTCCAAACAAAATAGGGTTGAAACCGGCAGCTGGACCCACAGCTGGACGGCACTAACGGACAATACAGACCCAGCTGGTCTCTCTCTTCTCACAGAAGTTGTAGAAAGACAGACCCCCCCACTCTGTAGCCAGGGCGATCATGGAACGTTGACCATCATGTGGTCAGGCCGGGCTGGGCAGCTCAGAAGGGCCTGCAGCAGCTGTCTGACCGGCCGCAGGTTCTGGTGGGAGCTGACCCGTCTGTTGTCCAGTAGAGCAGGAGGCTGGACCAGGACAGGAGACGGCGGGGGTCTTCTGGGCTGAGGGAGAAGCGGTCACTCTGACCTGGGGACCCTCAGGGTTCACATGCATGAGCATGTCTGTAGAAAACCCGGAATGTAATGCAACTTTTCTGTTCTGAGGTTCTTTAAAGTCTTCTGGGCCTGGGCTGTGTTCTGTGTGTGTGCTGGTCACTTCGGGACAGTAAAGGGGACGGTGTGGGGGACTGAGCTGGAGCTCCTGGACAGCAGCTGGCATAGCCGCTGTAGTTTGTGTTCTTTAAAAAGTTGAGCTTTGTTTTAGGCTGTGTAAATGTTGGCAGTACTGGTGGAGCCGGACAGGACTGTCCCCGTCTCAACACCTCCTGAGTTTCAAACCATTGCCCTGCTTCTCACTGAAGACTTGAAGACCTCCTGAGCTCTGGAGGTGAGTGGAGCTCAGTGTACATACCTGTTTGAAAAATGCTGTACTGTACACTGCCCCCCCCCCCCCCCGCTTTTATGTTTACTGTACTTTCATATCTGTGTACTGAGGTCAAATATATTTCTAGAGTGGAATTAGGATTTTATGCAAATTGTTGACCATTTTTCCTGTAATTAAAAGCAATAAATCTAACGTGGGAAGTGACTTTGTCCTGATGAGCTTCTTTAACTGGGAGCTAAACAGAACAGACAACTTCTGGCTTTGCTTAAACGGGCTCTTTAATCTTTGTTCTCAGGGATAAGCTAAAACATGTTGGTGAATATTAAATTCAGATTTATGGATTATAACCTTGGTGTCCATCCATCCGTTCTTCTTTTTCTGTGGTGGAGGGGGCAGGAGTCACTGGGCGGGGAGCGGGGGTGCCAGTGGACACGTCTGTCCATCACAGAGCAGTCAGGACCCCTCTGGGGTGGGGCGGGGGGGCAGGAGCAGCCCCTCCCTCCCGTCGGGCCTGGGCTTGGCTCAGACTGCTTCTGTTGGGACACAGAAAGCTGCCGGAGGACTGTGGAGAGGACAATGACACGCAGGTCCAGGCTCATATTTGCTTGTACCACACAGACACAGTCAGGCGGGGGGCTCCGGGCCCCCCCCTCAGCTGCGGTTGCTCTGCAGCGCCTCTATCAGGCTGCGGTTGTACTCGGCCACCTGCTGGAACACGTGCTTGGCCACCGTGGCGTAGTCGCTCTCCTGAGATTTGGAGGCAATGACTGATGCAGTTAAAGAAAGGATGAAACACAAGCTCAGCCTGCTGGCTGTTGCCCCCCCCCCCCTAAAATCAGTGTGTGTAAAGAGCTCTGACTGCTTTGAGTCATGAAAAGGAGAGTCAGCAGTAGCCGGACCCCCGTTAAAACAGCACAGAGTTAGCTGTGAGGCGTTTCAATCTGAGCGCTTTGCATGAGAAGCAGGAGGAGTAAAGGATACACTCTTTCATCACAAAGTTGTTCTGCTCCAGGTGCTGCCATTTCCGCTCCAGGTTAGCCAGCTGTAACGGCACGTCCTTCTGATCATTCTCATCTCAACACTGATAGGTATTCAAAGCACACATTTTTATGTTTCATGAGAATTATTAGCTTGTGGGTTAAAGAGGACTTAAACTGCTCCACCACTGGTCAAACATCCGGACGGGGTTCTGTGTGGCTCCGCCCCCCACAGGCCAAAACAAGCAGGTGAGGGCGGAGGCTGACTAAATGGTGGAGATGAAATCCTAAAATGTCTCACTTTCAGCGTCTTGTGTTTTGGGTCAGTAGCATGTTTCTATGTTCTGCAGCTTCTGGGACACTGACCTGAGCGTGGGCAGACACTGACCTGAGCGTGGGCAGACACTGACCTGAGCGTGGGCAGACACTGACCTGAGCGTGGGCAGACACTGACCTGAGCGTGGGTCTCGTTCTCCTGCAGCTTGGCCTTCAGAGCTTCGTGTTTCTGCTCCAGCTCGTCCAGCAGCTGAGAGAAGGCGTCCTGGCACTGGGTCAGCGACGTCCGGTCCTCAAGCAGCCTCTGCAGAAAACATCTGGATCAGCGTCTGGCTGAGGCACCGCCCCCCCAGTCAGCCTTGTGTCTGTGGGCCGTTGCCAGGGAAACCTTCTTCTTCTGCTCGGCGGTGCTCCTCAGGGCGTCCAGGTCTCTGTAGGTCAGCAGCTCGGACTCCATGCTGCTGACCGTCTCCTTCAGGACGCTCAGCTCCCCGCTGATCTTCCCCTCCAGCTGCTGGACCTTGTCCAGGTCCTGCTGCAGACGCTGGGACTCTGCGCAGTGGAGCAGACCCCAGACAGAGACCCGCGTTAGAAGGTGCTGCTGCTGGAGGCCTCTGACCGGTAGCCTGCTCTCATTGGAGCCTCAGGGGCTCAGAGCTGGACACCTCCAGGCTTTTCCAGGAACACAGTGTGAGCCCCGCCCTGTGGAGCCTTCCACCTTAAGACCCTGACCTGTTGCCAGCCCTCGGGCGGTGCTCTCTGATTGGACCACCTCTGTCTCCTTGCTGACCAGCACTTCCTGCATGTTCTTCAGCTGGTTGGCCGTCACCGTGTCCACCTGCCGCAGTCGCAGCATGTTCTGTGGACACACACCTCATGAC